AGCTCAATGCTGCTGCTTCTGTTCACTGTGTCACTTCCGTTTCCTGAGCGGCTTGTTGCCAGGCAAATTTCTAGCCTTCACGCCTTCCCTAATGGACTCATAAACTCTATCTTTGCACCAAAACAGGAATTACAAACTCCTGTTTTGGTGCAAATTAAATCCCTCCCCCTTCAGTCCCCTCACAAGACATCTCTTGTCGGACCCCTTAAATAACCCCCTTCTTCACCCTCCACTTCCCACCTCCTATCTTTTTAGCTTTTCACTCTCTTTGCCATTCTGCCAGGCCTTTATTTTGTCCTTTCACTTTTTGTTGCTCTGAACAGAGGCCTCAGTGTGTTGGTGACAGCGTAAGTGGCAGCGAGATGGGGTGGGGTGTTGCTTCTGAAAACGCAGAATGTGTGTGTGCATGTGTTTTTGTGTGTGTATGTATCGTCCTCTGGGGACGTGTTAAATATGGCCTTGTTGCCTGTTTTTCCAGAGTGACCCTTTAAGTCTTCAGTGATCCACATTGAATTTAAATGGAAGTCGAGTCGTAAAAGTAGCAGCTCGAGAATGTTGTTGTTGTTTTCTATCCGTTGTAAAAGGGATTGGAATGGGTGGTTGGTCTTACAGGAATGCCAGTAAACTGGAAATGTGTACTTAATCGGGTTCACTGGGCTTTCTGGTAGTTTCACAGCTGTGCGGTGGGTTCCTCAATAGCTTAAGGGGGCATTTTCACAAAGGGGCCATGACCACTTTTTATACATTTCGTCGCTGCCACTAACATCAACTTGCAGGCGGCGGGCTAAAAACAAACACACGTTTATACAGGGATGTGGTCATGCGGTCATGCATGAGCATTGCAGCACGGCCAGCAGTAACATTAGAATTTTAGCCGCGGTATCGTACAATCTGGATGTAAAGCAGCAGATATATTTTCCAGACAAGCATTGTGTTATGATTAAAAGAGAAGTCAAGTTTTCTCATTAAAGTTGCATCAGTGGAATATGAATTAAGCAGAAAAATGCACCCATTTTTGTCCATCTGAGGGGGTTGCCATTTTACCCATTACTGCCACATGCTGTCGACTGAAATTGATGTTACATTGCCCAGAGCTCACCTTGCAAAGGTCAAGGCTCACCTCTGTTCTTGATTTGGTCATCTGACGTTCACAAGTATGGGTGTGTCAATAGTTTTGACGGGAGAAAGTGTTTACCGAGAAGGTGGGCAAGCTAGGTGCGTAAAATTAGACGAAAGCACCGATGGGAGAAGTTGACCCATTGTGTGTCGTCACTGTGGTGTATTTTGATTGACCTAAAAAGAACACTGCACACACTAATATCTGCACTGAAGGATGATGTGTGACATAGTTCAGTATCAAGACCGAACTGTGTGAGTTGGCATGGTATCACAGGGTATCCAGACTGAGAGAATATACAAAGAAGAAAGAGTAATAAAAATTGGAAGACACAATTGGTGGTCACTCTGGCCATCCCTGCTTCTAAAGGAACATTTGATACCTGTGACTTTCCTGACATTATTACCGATACATGGATACAGTATTCTTAGATCCCTTGAGCCTCGTGTCACAATTTATTTGTATCATTTAATCCTTTCAGGGACCGTGGTTACTACAGTGGACACCTTATCATGTTAGCAGGTTACAGGGGGCATGAAAGGGTTAAAGTTGGGATGCACCCTAAAAAAAAAATAAAAAATCCACCTTTTTTTATGGTACACATATCTTTTGTTGTATTTTGAAATAAAACATTTGAATCCCACTTCTTATTAATGTAAGAGGGCCAGGAGATAACACCAAAAAAAACAGGCCAATTGCATGTTTTGCTACTTTCTGAACTCTTGGCACGAGAGACAGCAAGTCGATGATCAATCACTAAAGCTTAGGCTCTGATGAATAAAGTTGGTTGCGTTTTGTTAAAAGGTTGGATGCAGCCTTATTTACGTTGAAGCAGACGTAGGACCCAGCCAAACAACTCCAAGACTTCCTACAGCATGGTCCACGTCACATTGTGTGTTCCAAAAAACAAAAGAAAACCTGCTACATACAAACAACAACAATATTAATGCAGATGGAGATAAAAATATTGAATCGTTAAACAATGTAGTATGCCTGTGTTGAAATTACTATTGCTACCTACTACCAGCAACAATCCAAACACGTCGCATATGAACTCCTCAAAGAAATGGTAAAACTAGATGTTGTTGTCTGACTGATGTAGTATCAATATAATAATAATGTGTGGTGTCCCCAATCACATAAAAATCATACCTGATGTTCATTCACCAGGAAAATATTCTCCAGAGGATTATAGTACGTAACACAAGCACAAAGATCAATGCACACGGTGTCCACAAAATTTAGGCGCTGGAAACTACAGGTCCTCTCCTCATTCGGTGTGTATCTTAAAAATATTGCTCTTTGTAGCAACAGTTCTCAAGCTGTGCAAGACGTTTTTAAATGCTGCGGGGGATTGTGATGTTGAAGGAAACATTTCCAGTAGCTGTTCAAATAAACCACTGTGGGAAAACTGAAACAAATGGCTCACTGTTAGTTCTGAAGTCGCGTGCAGCGGCGCTACATTACCTTTCCTCCTACGTTATGCAGCAGAGGCTCAGCGCTTAAAGGGACAGTAACCAGACCAACGTGTATTTCTAGTGGCTCTTTCTATAGGTTCAATTTTTTTTTTCAATATCGGTCCAGTACCGCATTGACCTGAATATAAGACGGTGTTTTTTGCATTGAAATAAGACTGAAAAAGTGGGGGTCGTCTTATATTCGGGGTCTAGACATTATACCCATTCACGACGCTAGATGGCGCCAGATATCAATGAAGCGAATGCTGAACTTGACTCCCCAGGCCAAAGTGAACCCCTGCCACGAAGGATAAAAATAAAAATAGCGGTAGCACGAAGAAGAAAAATAAAAAATAG